TTTAGCAGTGAGCGGTTCCTGAAAGTTTCTCCCTCTTTGCCTCTCCCCTTTGGATTTTCCATGATGAAAACTGGCGGGGGCGGGAGTCAGGCAGATTCTGAGGAGCCAGTGCCCAGGCCTCAATGCCCAGCGCCAAGCACTACGGTCCTCTGTTCCTTACTGGCTCATCTCTCATCTGGGTCTTTTCTGTGCTCATCTAGCCTTTGGCAAAAGCTGAGAAGTCTGGTTCTGATTACGAGAGTGGAGCACCTGATTATAATCTGGTGGCAGTGAAGAGATTGGGAAGTGGTGGATGGTGACAATGCAGGGCCCCCAGAGGCTGGCATTTGGGAGGGGTGGGTGTGGCTGGGACCTGGGAACCTTGAACTTACTGCTCATGACTGAGTAGTTGTCCAACGGGCAGTCTCAGGGTGGCAGGAGTCACTGGGCTTTGGAGAAAGGGGTGGAGGATTGGAATGGAGCAGGGGAGGGAAGAGATCGGGAGGCCCTAGGAGAAGGGGAGGGGCTAGAATTCGGAGGACCTACTGGGTGAGGGTAAGGCTGAAGATCACTCGGTGTATTTTGGCCAGATCTGATTATGAGATATGAAAATTCACTCACTTCTTTGGAACCTAAGGCTAGCTCTTACAAAATCTTGCCTCTTCCAGAATTTGTTAGGGTCTTTGGCTGGGCCCTGGGATGCACACCAAAGAGGGTAGGTTCTAGAGGTACCAAAGGAGAGACTGGGACTCAGAGAAAACATCCTTGATTGGATCCCTGAACGGTGGGCAGGGCTAGAGCCTCACACTCATGCTGGTATTGCTGCCCCTAAGAGAAACTTTTTTGGCAGGTGTGGGGGGCATGCTGCCCGGCCAGCAGGATCTTAGTACCCCAACCATGGATCAAACCTGGCCCCTGGCAGTGAAAGTGCCAGGTCCTAACCACTGGACGACCAGGGAATTCCCACTAAAAGGAACTTTTGAGGTGCCAAAGAATTGGGGGAGGGTCATAAGATGGGCAAGCTGAACTTGCAGCTCAGGGGAAGGGAGCTGCAGGAGGGACGCTGAGGAAGGTGGAGAGTGAAAAAATAAAGGTGGCGGCTTGAAGAGGGTGAAATTATAATGGGGGGCCAGCCAGGCATCCTGACTACCAAACTAGCTGAGAGCAGAGGGAACTTTAGAAAAGAAGGGAAAAGGGAGGGAAAAACCAGGATGGTTTCAGTGAAGGTCAATCAAGTTGAAGACCTTCTGACACTTCCTGCAGGTTTTCCTTACCTTAACTATGCAGAGGGCAGCCCATCTTGGCACTGAAAGCTGAACCCCCTCTTCTGTGGTCTGGGATGATCCCATGCTTGTGACCGAGTGGGCTGAGATCCTTGGGGTGGGGGATTACAGGACGAGGGCATTGAAAAGAGTACACTGTTCTGGCTGGCACGAAGAGGTCAGGGGGACTTGAGGGAAGGGTTTGGGCTCTGGGAACCAGGAAGGGCGGGGCAGGGGCAGAGCTATCTCCAGAGGCGGATCTCCTGGCTGAGGACAGAGGGTATATTGTCCAACTGGGAGGTTGCTGCTGCTGGGCGGGGAGCAGCACATCTCGCCTCTTCCAAAGTTTTCTTTTTGGCGAGACTGGGGGTGAGAGAAGGCAGTCTCTCTCATCCACATTTGTGGCCCTGGGGGTTTCAATGGTTGCTGAGAAACAAGGTTTTATTTGAGAAACAGCTTCCTAGATGTGTAGGTCTTCCACTTCCTGAGAAAACAGATGCTGTGCACTCAGCACTCACTGGGACCCTGCCTTGGGATCCAGAGCCTAATGCTTAATTCTGTTTCGGAGAAATTAGGCCACGTGGACTGGAATACACGTGGGACCTGCCCAGACTCAAGTTCATGCCAAACCTGCAGCCTCCAGTTGCTCAAGACGACAGGAGGTTGACAGGGCTGACCCATCTTGAAACCCAGTTCCACAGTTGGGCTTCTGAGAGTCCATACATTCTTATGACGGAGGGTGGGGGGCAGACCAGTGAACTTACCCTGTTGGGACATAGAATGGGGAGTTCCTTTCTCCCTGCCTTTTTTGTGCACAACCAACATGAACCTCTTTCCAGTCAGCCCTTTTTCCATCTTCATCCTTCTTTCCATCAGTTTATTCAGACCTCAGTATTACAGTGAAGAGGGTGGCTTGAAATGAAGGCTTTGGAGGATGTGACTGAGGCAGGCTATACAGGCAGCCTGGGCGGGAGCTTTTCCTCCCTGCCCACAGGGATCACAGCACAGCACACGCCTTATCCCTCAACTTGGAGGTCAACGCACCAGCCGTAAACTACACGAGCTGCTGCTGCTGGAATTGGCCCAGGAAAGCCACCTGTTTAACTGTGCTCCCATCTCCCACATCTCCCCCCTATTTCCTCTTGGCTCCAAGTCCCCAAAATTGTCCACTGCGGTTTCTGTGGCTTTTATGCTCCACCCCCTTGTGACCTTAAGGATTCTCTGCCACTGTTCTAACCTCTTTCCTGCCCTGAAACAATGAACAGTCTGTCCCTAGCTGTTTGGAAAATTCCCACCGTTGGTGCTTTAAAAGTGGCCTCAGTTGTAACCTGGACCACCCTGTGAACTCCCCTCTGCCTGCACAGTGCAGCTAGGAGAGCAGACACAGCACCCATCCAGACTGGAGTGCAGGTTTGCGGAGACAACACCTCAAGGACCTGCAGGGGTAGCCCTAGAGTTCCTGCTTCATCTTACGATTAAAATAAACAGTACAGGAAATGGGATGCAGATACTCTCAGGTATTAAAAAGTTAACATCAGGCAAAAATGATGGAGGGGGAGTTGATACATATTTCCAGTTCTGAGGCCTTAATCAACAGATGCTGCTTGTAGTCCCACACTTCAGCTGCATAAAGTGGTATCGAATACCGAGAGAGAACTTCAGCAAAGTGTGTATGTGGAGAGCAGACTGTCAGTGGACAGAATGTGCTATGCATGTCAAGAAACTTAAGCATTAAAGTGAACTTTAAAGATCAGATTTATTTGGAGAAAACAATAAACCCCAAAACCCAAAGGATGGGATTTTACATCTCAAGACATCTCCCAGGTATTAAGTCTACAGATTACAAATCATTTTCATAGAAGATATTTTTGTACAAATTTTACATGTAATGAGGAGCGGGTCATAAATCCCTGTTTGTTTTAACAGGGTGGCAGAGTAGAGGAATGGGGGAAAAAAACAGCTTTTTTGTATACATCTATTTGGAAGGAGTAGACATGAAGAGGGCAAACCCTACCTTTTCAACATCTATAGCAAATGGTTTAAAAAAATACCCTCTCAACCTTGGGTATCTCTAAAAGCCACTTCCTAGCTACTAGCCACTCCAAGCCAATTATTTAAAGTTACTTCACTTGGTATGTCCTTTATGTCCACTAGGTAAATGATGCATTATGCTCACTGCTGCAGCACTCATAAACCAACACCCTGCAAGGTTGGACAGGGTCTAACCTAGGAATGATGGGAAAAAAGCTTGCAAATAAAAGAGACCAAGGTGTCTTTTCTCTGTAGGTACCAATACTGCCCATAAGGACACCATCTATTGAGCTGATAGCACCAAGGTGCACATAAAAGCAGGCAAGTAAAGCTATTGTGTTGCAAGAGAAGAACCTTGTTAAATTGTTCTCCATTATCATTCATTCTTGCAAGGAATGCAAAAAAATAAAAAGAACCACCCCCACCCCCCACATTGGTCTAGGCCACATTATAAACCCAAACATTTGTGTGGGATTTCAGTGCAGAGATGGAAACTTTTTAAAAAAGCACACCCCCCAACACCAATCAAGGTTGTAAGAAAGGTTTCCAATTTAATTTCCATTCACCCCAATGTGGGTGAGTGGCCACACTCACCACCTAAGACTGCTAATTCTGAAGTTTTCTGAGGTGCAAAAGGGGTCAAAGCAGCAGGAGCAGGAATGGCTGAAGGGAAGGAGTGAGACTCAAGACATGAAGGAGCCAAGAATTGCTTAAGAAAGGCAGTAGTGATTCCTCATTAGACAGCTCCCAGGGGGCTCTAAAGGATGCCTAGGAGATCAAGAGTGACCGAAGTCCAAGTCGTCTGTGGGAAGGTAACAGGAAAGACTAGCATGAGGAACCTAAGATGATGACAAGAGTCTGAATTTTTAAAACTTCAAGATTTCAACAGAATGTGGATTTATTTGAACTTTCAGAAGGGATAGTGTTTAAGAAAGGGTGAAACCAGGACACAAAGATTTGGGAATTCCCACGAACCCTAAGTGCTTCCTGCTCCAGGAAGTAAACCATTCATGTGTTTACTGGAGGTCATATACCATTTTCTCTATTACTGGTGCAAGATAATTCACCAAGCCCCCAACCTTCTTTTCAAACCACGATTTCCCCACTTATTTTGGTCACCAAACAGTCCTATTCTTCAGTGGCCTGTAGACTCACTTCCACCTACCCCCCTGGGGGGTACAAATGAAGGAACTCCCCATAGGCTGGCCCCAGTAACTCAGAACTCGTGAGAGGAGGGGCTGGCAGCCTCCTGGAGACTAAACCTACCTTGCCGAGGATGGAGAATTTATTCAGGTAATATTTGAGAATTCATTTATGCCACAACAGGATAGTAAGAATTAAAGGTAGGAACCTCACTCTTCCTTATACCTGTCTACTGCCCAACTAGATTCCAGACACTGCACCACTGTCACTGCATTTTGCTAAACGGAGGCCCCTAGGCACTAATCACACAGGCAATTGCATGTGTCATAAAAACACACCACAACTTTTCCATTAAAAGCTGTACGTCTCTTTCTCTGGCTACACTGGTGATTCTCCTGTTAGTTCAATACTTCAAAGGCTGCAGCAGCATGCAAAAGAATTTCATTTTGTTTTTTTTAAAAAAAAGTTAAGAAAGGTCTCCAGGAGATGGTGAGTTTTATTTTGTCTTGTCTGGATAGAGGTTTGATTTGCTCTCGAATGTTCCAGGGTGGAGAGAGACTAGGAGAAAGCACAGAATGCAGAGGTCTATTCCGTGTAATCTCCCTCATTTTCATCTTCACCATCAATGGCGAGAGCAGCATATTTGCTTGCAGAACTGAACTTCTGTAACAGACAAGATAGATAAGGCCTTGAACTCTCACAGCAAAACCCAAGGACCAGGATACTGGGGCAGATGGGAGGTGGTTGTCCAGACCACACCCACTTGTTTGCTTATCGGGCTTTTCTGATGGAGCTGTAGCTGGGGAGAGTTGATTGGAGGCAGGTGTTCTTATGGAAGGCATACATCACCTTTTATCTTGAAGAGGGGATCAGAGTAGTGAAAGGTAGAATGAAGGAAAAAAGCTAGCCTAAGCTTTTCTCACTAGTTCAAACAAGCAGCAATACCCACTTTCAACCACTCTGTTTGCAGCATGTACAGAATTTCAATGGTGAAAGTGGGTCACAGGAAGTTGAGGAAGTCTTTGACACTCACCGAGGCTGGATTTTCTTCAGCTTTCTTTGGCTCAGGTGCAGATCTGGAGTCGTGATCCTTTTTGCCATCTTTCCTGCAGAGACAGAAATACCTTTAGGAGAGGACTCTCCCAACACCCACAAACAGTTTTTAGATACTGACAGGCACATCCAGTCAACAATTTTGGCTATCTGGACCTTTTGTAATTTCTAGATTCTCAGAATTGTAACTGACTATATTGGCTGACTTTAACAGCTTCACAGTGGGAACTGGCAATGCCTGAAGAACTTAATTACAAAGAGACAGTTATCTAGTATCAGGTCAGAGATTAGAAATGAAGAAAGGACATGCATACCTGTCTGACTCCTTCCAGTGGTCTTTGTTCCCTCCATCTACTGGACCACGGCTGGAGTTCCCACTTTGGCCTTTTGGGGCACTTACCCCATCTATTTTATTTTCATCTGTTTGAGGGGCACAAAAATAAATGGAAGTCAAGGAAAATAAACACGCCCACTCTCAGGTTTCCCTTAAGTTGAAGAGAAGTGTGCCCAAAGGTACTGAGGGAAATGAAAACTACCTCCGATCTAGACTTCCTTCCTAAGCCCTTCTTCCATGTCCTCTGTATCAGTCACACACCCTAAATAAGATCCACTAAAAATTTCCACCATGTGGTTAACGCCATCATGAAAAGCAAAGTGGAAATAAGGACTATGACTCCGTGTAGTGACCTTGGCCTTGCAGATGGCGACATTTCTAATCTGGACCAAGCATGTCAATTTCCTCTCCACCCCCTTTTCTTTCCCTTTTCAAAGAAATGTTCTACCAGGAAAGGGCAGGGCTCAACGTTTTCTCCAAACAAGCCACTCCTGCCCTCTACTGGCAAGAAAAGGCAGACAATCAACTTTTAACAACAACAAAAAAGGTGCAAAATACAATGAAGTTCAGTATTTTTCAATTCCTCTATAGAATCTTTTTTTAAAATTTAGGTCTCTATCTTGGCGAATGGCCTACTTCCCTCTTGGCCTTACCTTTCCTTGCTGATCCCTCTTCAGATGGTTGAGTTGGAACTACTTTCCCTCCACCACTAGAAAGAAAACATGTAATCACATTCATCAGCTTATCTTAGGAAAGGAACAGAAATGTCTATGTCAAGTGCAGTAAGTCTTACAGAAAACTAAAAACACATACTTAATGCTTTTAAACATTAAAATATGGGAAAAGACAACAATTAGAGCAATTATGTGAACTTGACCAAGTGTCACATCCTTAGAATCATCATAGTCATGTTAGGTTAATCTTATCCCTCTACTTTACAAATAAGAATCCTAAGACTAAGGGAAGTGACGTGACCCCCAAGGCCATAATGCCAAAATGTGGCACTTGAGGGTTCTGATTTATAGTGTGTGCAGACTGAGTCACCAAAGTGATGTCAACCAGCTAGCAAAACTCCAGAAAACTGAACCACCGGCACACCACAGAATTTGCACTATGAAAGCCAAGATGGCAGAACTTATCAGATGCCATAAGGCCAGCACCCCAGAGGGCAACTTCCACCATGAGAAAACAGCACTGAAGAGTCTATAGCCAACCAACTGCCATGTTTCCAAGCTGACTCACCTTGTAGGGGACTGCTGCTCTGTGTCTGAGCTCTGAGATCGAGCAGGAGGGTTAGAACTTCGCTTCACCCAAGCATTCTCCTTTGGTGGAGGGGCTGGCATTACCTTTAGAGGCTGTTCAGGTTTGGGAGGCTTAGAAGTTGGAGACTGACAGTCTTCCTCTTTATTGGGGGTTTCATTTTCTAGAGACTTCTCACTCTCTCTTCTTCGTGCATCTGTGGGGTCAGAATGGGAAGGTCAAAGCATCAGAAAAAAGGGCTTATTGATAACAATCTATTAGAACCTGAAGAGTGGAAAATGGTCCACATCCAAGTATACTGCTTTCCATCATTATTCTTAAACACAGAGCTGAATTTGGCTCCCCACAGATAAAATAGTATTGTTTTTCCTTAGATTATAAACTTTTTTGTTCTCAGTGTTAAAATGTTGGTACTTGATACACATGTAGAAACACTCGCAACAAAAAGTGATACAAGACTTTGGACCCCACTCCTAGTACAGTGGATGAGAATGTCTGTCATTGCAGGGGACACGGATTTGATTTCTGGTCTTGGAAGAGTCCACATTCCGTGGAGAAACAGCCTGTGTGCTGCAACTAAGGAGCCCGTGTACCGCAACTACCAAAGCCCATTGTCTAAAGCCTGAGCTCTGCAACAAGAAGTCTTTCTGCATCGTAACTGGAGAGCAGCCCCCTCTCTCCACAACTAGAGAAAGCCCACCTGCAGCAATGAAGACCCAGCACAACAACAACAAAGTGACACAAGAACCTAAGATGAGGGGACAAACCCAACAGTCAAGTGTACTTTTCAGTGGGAGGCTATTAAACTGATCAACTAAGTCACTTCTGGTACCCATTCCTCAGACTTTTTCAGAGCAGATATGAAAGTCAGACCAATCCATGATAACCCAAATAAAGAGTCCATGACTAAATTTCATATTCCAAAGTCTGTGCATAATTTGGCTATGGATATGTTAGGTTATGGAAAAGGGCAATAATGAAATACCCACCCTGGTCTGACTTACTTCTGCCAGATGTGGCTGAGGTCCCAGTCTGTGATGACTCACTTCCTGTCCTCGATCGTTCCCGTTCCTGAGTTTCTTCACTTCGCCAGCTTGGGTGTCTGTATAGAAGAGATTTAACAAAATACATCATGTCCAGCTCAGTGATGGCTACCTTGGACCCATGCTGACCCTTCAAGAACTATCACTTTTTAAAGTTTTATCGTGTTGGCTTTATCTGTGGGTGTATAACCTGTCTTTCTTGCTCAAACCATTTCAAAGTGGCAGACATTTAACACACTTGGGTTCTAAATACAAGTATCACTTGCTTCAAAGTTACCTTTATGCCACTTTACTTTTACAAAAAGACCCATATATGCTGCTGCTACTGGAAAGAAATCCTGAGGATTCTGGTTTTATAAAAAACATGAAAAGTGAAAACAGTGTTCAGTGTTGGTTTTGCAGCAAGCTTTTTATATTAGCAAAACGTGTTCTAAAATAATTGCTTCTTTGATTTACACCATTTTGGCTTATAAAAAGTTTTGTAGGAATGCTCTACTTTTGGACATCGGGGAAAACCTGTACTTCACCAAGTGTTGGTTAGGGTTAAGAACATTCTTCTACAGAATCTGTAACTCTGTGCTCCCTTATTGACAACACAATTCTGCCAATCAATCAAAAAACCAGGCCTAGTTTTATCAGATTATTATAACTAGAAAATAATTTACAGCCTATACTTAGTACGAATGAAAACATTCTTTCTACCCCATCTCCAATAACTTGAAAAGAAGTAAATCCATTCACCTCACTATGGTTGGATTTTACTCTATACACTAAGGCAGTGTTTGGCAATTTTTTCCCTTAAAGGTCAGCCAAAATTTACAGGTGCTTGTGAGGGCCCAGGAGGCCTTTTGAAAATCATGAGGGACAGGCCACAACTCTTCCCTAACTAAAGAAACTGTCTCACTCACTGCCACTTGGCAACTTCCGCCCACGAGCACTAAATGCTAGTAACTGACAACCAGGAACACTCACACAAATTTCCCAAGAGTCCTAGAGATACAACGCCCCCATTAAGAATCATGGGCTTCATGGATGGGAAATCCGTCACTGAAGATCACCTCACCTCTCCCGAGGCCGTCGTTCTAGTTTTGGCTCATCCAGCTGACGCTGCAGTTTCTCTTGTTCCTTCTGTAGCCGCTCTTCTACTTCTCGTTCTCTAGCAGCTGTGTCAACAGGCTTTGCCCCTCCAAAGATAGAGGCTGCCCGACTGGACTGGGAGGTGCTAGCGGAGGAATCATCTTCCTTAGGAGTGCTCCGAGGCTTTAGGTTCAGTTTGGGTCTTTGGGGGGGACCTAAGTTAAATAAAACTCTAAGTAATAGCTTTTGGAAATCACTAGAAGCTGATGGCTAACAGTCAGACTGCCAGACATCTCTTATGAAATGCTATTTAGTATTCAGATTAAAGAGTGGCTAGCCAATCCAACAAAGGTAAGGAGGCAGATCATTAAACTGATCATTTACCATGATTACTATCATCTGGGGGGATTCTGAACTATGATAAGATATTGGATGAAAGTATCTTGTTAATATGTGGTGTCAAAGATGAATCATTTTAGTAGGTTAAGAAGAACTTGTAACACTATGCTGGGGAAGACTCTAACTCTTATATTCTTTATCTCTGTGTATAATATATAAATTTGATAGGGATTCATAGGGAAAAGCATGCAACAGTGAACACCACAATATCAACTCTAAAGGGGTCTGGTTTCTTCCTGGATCCAAGCTGTCAGAATATTTCAAGATAAACCTGAGTGCTTCAAGGAGATTGTTTTTCTCAAAAATCAGTGTTTATCCTAAACATTTCAAACATACAAAAGACATAGAAGATATAAAGAAAGCTGTGTACATCAACCACCCGACTTAAAACATTGCAAAAATTTCCACAGCCTTCCCTGGTAACATGCTTAGCCGTGTTGTCTTCTCCTAACTACTATGCTCAATTTGCTATTTATCCTTCTCATGCACGTCTTTATTATTTTTGTACATATTTATGTATTTGCAAACAAAGAGTACTGTGTAGCAAAATTTAAATTTTCTATAAAGGTTTTACATTAGTAGTTTATGTAACTTTCAAGGTAACATTTTTCATCTGTATAACTCAAGGGGCCATAACCAATGTGAATAGGATATAACTGGGGTCAGAAATAAGAACTCATTGAAGTCACACACCTAATATAGGGTGGACCAAAAAATGAAATCCCCATTATTGAAGCAACTCCACTACTCCTCCCACTGTGGTACACACAGTGTCCCCTTCTTCCTCCTTTGATAATTTCATTTACCTACTCAACAAATAATCTGAACACTTATATTTCAGATACCACATCAACACCAGGAGTATGAAGAGGCAGAGCAGTGAAGGCCTTTGTCTATGTCAGAGGTACAAAAGGGTATGTTTCAGGCCATCAAGAGACAAAAAAGGGTTTTAGAAGAACAACATAACCTAATTAGATATTGTTTCAGAAAGACAACCCAAGCCAATGTGAAAATAGAGGGAAATGAAATGTTACATGAAAGCACAGCAACCATGTCTGAACAATAACAGTGGCAGTGACCCTGGAGGAAAGGGGGCAGATCTTAGGAGTTGGGGGTGATGGGGGGGTGGTGGAAATCAACTACTGGGGGAGGAAACGGCATGAAAAGCAAAGGTCAGTAGCTAACGAAGATTGCATCTGAGCCTCTACTTTTCAAAGTGGAGACATTACTTGTACCTCTACATTGAATACTTACTAATCATTAACTCTAGGTGTGCTAAATAGAATTACAGAGGATTCTGGACCAGATACCTTACTTAAATTTTAATTTTGGCTGTACCACATTCGGAATCTTAGTTCCCCAACCAGGGACTGAACCCAAGCCAGGACAATGAAAGCCCAGAATCCTAACCACTAGGCCATTAGGAAGCTCCCAGATATAGTATTTTTAAAATGACATCACTGAAGTCAGAACAATAAATGGTGGCCATTTGTAATACTTTTTGGGAGGTAGAGTTGTAACACAACACATGTTTTATATAAGTGATCATAAAGTTAGGGGCATTAATTTTACAATAGGTACACTGACATCTTAACATTAATGAATGAATATCAACCATTTGGTATATTGGCATTGAAATAAGCAACACCTGGTTTTTAACCCATACTGCCTACCAATTACTGGCTATAAGACCGTGACTTGAGTTTCATTTCTTCACTTGAAAAGTGGGGCTAAAGCAGCCTATTTTAAGTGAGACCTTGCTATAAGAATCTAGCAAATGGTTTTTTTTCCTTTTTTGTCTATTCAATTAAATTTTAATCTATATCCTAAGACAGGTTAGAACTAGACTTTATTTTCATCATGTTCATTTTAATCTAATGCTCTTTCTATCCTGTTCTGATGCATTTCTCTCTTTTAACTATGTGCAGATTCTGTTTGTGCACGTAACTGGAAATTTTCAACCAGTTACTCCTCTACTTGTAACGCTCCATCAAGCAAGCAGACAAGATGATTACCTCTGTCATCCCGCCTATAATCATCCCGAGAGTAATCATCTCTGGAGCTCCAGGACCGGTCATCTCGTCTGTCGTATCTGTCTTCATAGCGGTCCCCGCCTCCTCTGTAGTCATCATCCCTACGGTACCCGCTACCGAACGCTCTTCTGCCACTGCCTATCCTGGAATCGTAGCCTGTAAACAGATCCCAAATTGTAATCATCACACTGGAGGGAAAAAGGAAGCTCTTGAAGACCATTTCATTTGTGTTTTATAATGACCTCTGTCATAGTCTCTGCCACCTCGGTCATCATAGCGATCTCGGCCCCCGTATCGATCCATGTCCCGGCGTGGGCCATCACGGTAACTGTCCCGATATCCATCACGATATCGGTCTGAATCGTAACGATCTCGATACTCTAGAGAAGAAGAGTGACAGGTAACGTCATTCCTTTTTCTTTGACACTACTAATAAAAAGAAACGTGACAGCCCATTAGGTCAGTTTGGTTTCGAGTTCATATTTGCTGAGGTGTCTGTTTTTATTAACAACAAAAATATTATATCCAAGGCAGAATAATTTGTATTAAGTTTTCTCAGTAGTTATTTTTAAAAAGTTCTCTAGTGATTCAATAAATGTTCCTGGGGTAACAATTTAGGGATCGAACCCAGATCTCCCACACTGTAGGTGGAACGCTTTACCGCCAGAGCTCCCAGGGAAGTCTTAGGGTAACAATTTAGGAGGAAGTTAGGGGAGAGATAAATATACAGTGGTCCCGCCTTATCTGTGGTTTAGCTTTTTGAAGTTTCAGTTACCTGTGGTCAACTACAGCCAAAATTTTTTCATGGAAAATTTCAGTAATACACAGTTCTTAAGTTTTAAAATGTAACAGCAATGTGTGCTGTTCTGAATAGCATGGATGAAATCTTATGCTCTCTCCCTCCAACCTGTCCAGGATACAAATCATCCCTTTTGTCCAGCGTACCCACACAGTATAGTACAGTAAGATATACTTTGAGAGACAACACATTCATGTAACTTTTATTACAGTATACTGTTACAATTGTTCTATTTTATTATTAATTATTATTGTTAATCTCTAGTATACCTAATTTATAAATTAAACTTCATAGCTATGTATGTATAGGAACAACACAGAATAACACATAGGATTCAGTAACATCCAAGGTTTCAGGCATCCATGTGGGATGGTGGTATCTTGAAATATATCCCCACAGATATGGGGGGGGGGGGTGGAGACATGGACGGCTGTATATTCCATAATAAACTCCCAGGATTAACGATTTAAATATTAAATAATATAAGCACAAAACACAAGAAAATATAGCTGCAATATTTCCCACTTGATATCAAAGAATCAAAGACTACTTAAAAGTTTAGCATGGAGGGAACTCTCAGCTGGTCCAGTGGTTGGTTAGGACTCCAAGCTTTCACAGTAAGAGGCGTGGGTTTGATCCCTGGTTAGGGAAACAAGATGCCAAAAGCCATGTGGTGTGGTGGGGGGGAAAACAAAAATTTGGCATGGAAAAATAATGACATCTCAATATGAACCAATTAATTAAAAAATGAAACAGCCAACTTAAAAGACGTTTTGAGTTTACTTGAATAGGTCAAAGATAGATATTATTTTTGTGACAGCTTCATTTTATTTACTTATTTTTTGACAGCTTCATTTTGAACAATGGTTTCATTTTGCAAACGTCATCATTTTGTCTACATGAACATTCATCCACAGGTAGTTTAGATTTTATAAATTAAGGGGCTTCCCTGACAGTCCAGTGGCTAAGACTGCGCTTCCAACGCGGGGGGGGGCGCACATGTTCAATCCCTGGATGGGGAACTAAGATCCCACATACCTCGTGGCATGGGCAAAATAAAAAAGTAAATAAACAAACTTTATAAACTATAAACTTGCACTAAAAGAGCAGAGATCCACAGTGAAGAAAAGTAGCACAGGAATTATGCTATTATAAGACAGCATATTCTGGAAATATACAAAACATTTAGCATAATACTTTGCCCCACTCCCAAGGTGTCTTTTATGGGCTACCGGCTTGAGACAGGGGTGTCTACCCTTTGTGGCACAGTGCAGGACCTACCTCTACCACGTTGGCAGGGCTAACTCTGGGGCCCTGGCCTAGTCTTTCCTTGTTATTATCCATCTTACTTTCTCTAAATTTAATATCTGAGGTGAGAAAATTGTCATTTTCCTGGGACCCCTTGGGCTGATTGTCTACTTTTCCTTTCAAGAGCCATTTAATAATAGAACCTCTTGCATAGATACTGAAGTAAAAGTGCCTAAGTAGTTCTCCCAAGGCTATGTTGAGTCACAGACTTGATCTAAAAATCAGATACAAACATGACTCTGTCCTTCTACATCTTAACTATGTCAAGGAGGACTCTGTCAATATTTTGCATGTTTATTTCAGTTTTAAAATTTAAAAAGTAGCATGTTACAAATGTAGTGAAAGAATTCCCCCACCCTCTATCCATAATCATGAGGGTGGTTACGTTACCATGCACTTATCTTTACAAACTTACGTGTTTACACTACATAATACTGCTTTAAAATTCCTCCACATTTTTGCTTTTCTTCCTCACTGTAACAGGTTTCAGAAACGCCCTGGTGGTCTATTGGTGAGGACTCAGCACTTTCACTGCCGGGACCCTGGGTTCAATTCCTAGTCAGGAGGATTAGGATCCCATAAGCCATGAAGCTCGGCCACACCAAACAGGTTTTGAATTTTATCCCTGTCATCACATGTATGTTATGCTATCAAGTAGTCCATTATATCAACAAACCACTACTTAGTCATCTCTAAATTACACATTTTATTTGCATCTCTCCCCTGTTAAAATAATGTCCAGAGAGCAGTATTTTGTTTTGTTCACTGCTATATCCTGAGCTCACAAAAGTACGTGGTGTATGGGTGGACATCTAGGATTTTTTTGAAGGTAATGAATTTTCTGTTGTCTAATTACAAAACACCCCCAGAACACAGAAGAAACTAACTGGATGAAAATGAACTTACTGTCTCCAAAGCTATCATCACCCCTTCTAGGCGGGTAGTCATCAAAACTGTCTGCAGCAGGACGGGCCCTCCAGTCGGTATCTGTTTTGTCAGAGTCACGATTTCTATCTCGGCCAAAAGAACGATCATCCCTGTCTACGGATATATCAAATAAAAAAACCACAGGTTAGCTCACAAAAACTGTTGCCAAATATTTTTCGCACGTGTAGACAACCCCTACTGCCTCACATGATACCTGCTTATACCACAGCATTGTTATGAAGTCATCCCACACCTGTTAGTGCACTCTTCAACTCAACCAAGTGACTCCCTTCCTCACATTCATTCCTACTGGTTTAATGCTTACCTGTCTCATTGTCTATATAGGCCAGGAGCCTCTAAAATACACGTGAATCGGGCTCCTTTGGTGTCCAGAGTGCTAGGTATGTAAATTATTTAGTATATATTTAATGTTCATGTAAGTCAATCAGGGTTTCTCAGTCTCAACACAACTAACGTTTTGGGTTGGACAATTCTTTGTTGTGGGGGCCATCATACACACTATAGAACAGTCCTGGGATTCTTTTAGATGTCAGCCCTCCTTTGTGGCAACCCAAATGTCTCCCAATACTGACAAATGTCCCCTGTGAAGCAAAACCACCCTCAGCCAACAATTACTGATTGAGAACACATTCAGTCAGCTTTCTCACCTTTATCCTGTGCTTGATCAGCAACGTCCACTCGAATTCTCCTGTTACCTAGAGACTGAGAGCATAGGACCATATTAACCAACCTTTTGCCCCATTATGCACAAATCCCATGAGTGACCTTGAACGTCTGGGCATAGCAGAAGCACTGGGGGAAGGAAGATAAAGGAAAAACACTGTAATCTAGCCAACACTACAATCTGTTGGCTAAAGAATCCTCTATAAAGACTTGAATATAAAATAATCTCGTAGAATTAACATTTAAGTTGGGCTTAAATAAATGTCAGCTCAATTATCTTACTATTTTTATAAAGTCAAATCTCACAAAATAGATTTAACTTTTTAACTATCACAGGCAATTTATTAAGTGTAATCCTTTTACATTATAGTCAATTCAGCAAACTTCAGACAATAACAGTTGTATGGTATCCTTTTCTTATCCAGACTGAGAAGTTAAAAATTAGTAATGTTAATGAAACCTAAAAGTGACATGAAAAGAAAAACTTCCAACAACTTTTGTTTTTCATATATTAATATTTAACTAAATACACAAATAAAATATTTTAGGAGCTGCTTTCAATCACGTCCAATGTCAGATTTGGACCACAGAATAATGCCACAAATGTCACTGGAAATTGCCTTCTCAATAAACAAAGAGAGGTTTCTGGAATTTAAAAAAGAGCCTTTTTTTCCTTTCCAGATATAATCAGTTTGATTTCTAAAGTTGCTAGAGGTAAAAAAGCAGTTCCTAGATTAGAAACTTTTTATCACTAATAAGCAACTAACTGATTTAATAGTCCTGCTTGGGCAAGCCTAACAATCCATACATGGCCTTAAATAACTGAGCACAATTAGATTTAATCTCCATTCCCCTTCATGTATTAACAACTGAATTTTCTCTCCCTACTGAACCTCTGGTGTGTCTAGATAGGAAAACATCTATAGGGAATAGTAAAAAAGCAGGACTGAATGTTTACTGTCATTCCTAGGAGCAAGTATTATTGATACAAATGACATTTTAGAAATGTTTCTGAGCTCTCTTAAAATTATTACTAGGCCTGCTGAACTTGCTGAAGGGAAGTGTAACTTGCTAGATGTTGAAAGTTAACTGGAATACTGATAAATAATCCAGGCTTTTCTTTGTAGATATTGTGGGAATCTTTGAAATAGCTAAAAACCCAGACTAAAAAATAATCAGTTTGATAAACTTAAGAGTTGTTAGCTCCCAGCCCTTAACCCCACCCTTATTTTATTTACCTCTTCGTTGAGGCTCAGGGCACTGAGCAAGGAATCCAGGTCCTCAAACTCAGCATAACCAAAACCTTTTAACCTCTCAGGATTGCTGGGCTCACGCGGTAAACGCACCGCACTGATCTAAAGAAGAAATAAGAAATAGTTCCCAAATTCAATGTCCTTGTTCACTTGCCTTCTTTTTTTGACACTGTGTATGCAATGGATTTCTCTGAATACACAAGAACCTAGATGTCTCCAGGAGGAAAACTGGTACAGAGGGATACAAGAGAGACTTCACTATATACCTTGTTAAAATCTTTTCAACTTGAACAGTATGAATTTAACCTTTAAAAAACTTGAACAAGTTCAGTGTATTCCATGTACCCCTGACTTCTGCCTCACTTTGTATTTCTATTTTTAAGTTGTTTTTCAATTAAGAGGAACTGCCTATTCCACAATTAATTGATTTTCAATTTTTCTCTCAGAAATTAGACTCAGTTTTTGCCAAAAGCTTTTCTGAGCAGTATATGACAAGCTGATTTATCTGAGAAACATTAGTTACTGTTTTCACATATTTATAGCTTGGCTGAATCAAACACTGGATTATAAACTGTCACCATCCTTACCCTCTCTGCCAAATTCTGAGATGATAAAGCACCAGATCATACTTCTAACTATTTTCTTGTCACCTTTTGTGTCTGTTTTCTAACCCTTATTATTTCTTCACTTCTCTAACACTGTGCATATATTCAAGTTATCTTTTGCATCACTCTTTATTCTGGGCTTCTGAGATATGGATTTTGTTAGTTGCTCTCAAATTCTATTTTAACTCCACTCATGAGTAGAGCAGGAAAAGGAACGAAATAAAAGGGAATACAGATGTCTTCTTATTGGCAAAGACTCTGGAGAAAAACCCAATAGAATTGGAAATTATTACTCCTTCCATTTTTGAAATCTTAAGTATTTTTTCATCAAAGTTTGGAAAAAGGACTTTTAAGTACCTCACACTTTGTCTTTCTGGAAACTTTCAGATCAGTGTTTTCAAACATCTTGCCTTAAGCTTTTTAAGCAAGCCTGTGAATTCCATTATATGTGAACAGATTCTGTTAATATAAACTACATATCTGCTCAGTTAAATGTATTCATATAAAATATTAAATGTAGTTTTAAATGTAGTTTTGCTATAAGCCTGTATGTCATTAATAGAATAGCTGAGTTCAGAGAAACTTTCTTCCCACTTTTCAACATTCAACTGGGTATGTCACCTTTAAGTTTCTTAATAAGAAGGGTATATGTTCTTGACAGATTCTCCCTGTATCAATATGGCATTAAATTGTTGATAAGACTGTCCAAAGGAGAAAATTCTCAGCCAGAGGGCCTAAATGCCACTTAATTATATACTCATTTTTTTTCTAAGTCTATACATAACCTCAGAACTTTTCTCAACATAGGAATTCAAGAGACAGTCACTATTCTACCCTCCCTATCTAGTTCATTACCTAAATCCTTTACACTTACATTTAATCCTCTAAAGAATTCCTTAATGGAGTCTTCTGTCACATCATAGGGCAGGTTCCCCAGAAAAGCTGTGTAGGGTGGAGATTTGGGAAGACGGCTCCGGTCGATATTGGGTTCCCGAGCAGCCCGTGGAGCAGTGGGCAGGATGGAACGGTCAATTGGAGGTGCCCGATACACATCATCATCATTACTATGCCAAGTGGTTGAAACTAGGGTAGAAAAGTAGACATTAAACAATAGAAGAAACTTCCCTTAGTACCACTGTAGAATAAGAGGACCTACACAAAGTGCCAATTTTATTCCACCTTAGCTTTGTAGTCATCTTGTGAGCTCATTCCCCATTTTACACAAAAGAAACTAAGATTTTGGGACAGTTTTGTAACTTGCCTACCAAGGTCACAGATGGTAGCCCAGCAGGATGGTAATCCTAGTGGAGCTAGGAGATACTGTCTCTACGGTACTGCCCATGAGTTTGTACCTCAGGTATCAACATTTATAGAAGGTACGATCTAGATGAAATTTCTTAATACAAAAATAGGTCACAAAAGAAAAAGTACTTTTCAGTTTGCAATGAAGGCTTTTAGACAAAAATGATGGGTGATCAGACTTGTCAGGCCCAATGACTTTATAGCTCCTGCCTGTTGCTAGCTATTCTGCGAAGGCATAAAACTTCTTCAAATATTTTCCCACCATAATTACTATTCCTATTCCTTTCCCCCAGACCATTTTTGTTTACTCAGGAACACCATGCCTTCATACTAAACAAATTATTCCTTGACTGTTAAGTATAAACAGCTTATAGATTATATTGCCATCTTACTTTAATATTTATGAGGACATCACAGAATTTTAGACCTAAAATGAAATCATCTAGTCCTTACTTTCCAAATGAAGAAAACAAGGCTTAAAAGGACAGTATCCTGACAAAACTCTATTACTGTAACAGCCATAATTGGCACTAAGCCCTCTTGAATCACCACTTTAGTCCCTATTTCAAACTCACAGCCTTAACCTATTTTGTTATGTACAAATACATAAACATAAGATTTCAGGTTCTACAAAATTAGTATGCTTCTTCCAAACTGCAAGTGTGAAGCATTATTATGGGATAGATTTTGTTCAGAAACTCCAGGCATGATGGATAACAGAAGGAAACGCACCATCCCCTTCCAGGTCGTCTGTTTCATCAGCCCAGCTGACTGGTTTGGGGACATAGGTGCTGCCTCCACCAGTTCCTCCATCCTCAGCCAGAAAGTCTGTTAGGGAGATAGTCTTCCCCTTCTTATTCTTCTTTTTCGCTATTTCAAAAAGACAAGAGAAAGATTATTCATCAATACTTGGGTCTTTACAGAATTGTACACTGCACTATTGTTAAATGTACTTATAAGAAAACAACAAAAAAGGCCCATCAAAGGTTTAGATTGTGGTACATTTATATGAAAGAATTCCATGCAGATATAAAGGAGAAAGCCCAATGAGAAGTGAAAAGTAAAATGGGGGGGGGGGACTTTTATTTCCTACTACATTCTCTTGTGTATCATTTGAGATTTTTAACTATTTGTGTTTAAGAAAGGTTACTACATTCATTGCTCCTGGGACACAAAGAAACAAAACAAAATCTCTGCTCTAATATTCTGAGACTCCTTCCCTACCTTAACACCACATATGAAAATGAGATATTATACTAAAGGAAAAACATAAGAAATCAATGAGAACCAGCAATTTAATGTTTTCCCCGGTTATGAAATCTTTAGGAATCCTGACCATGGTGCTCTAACGCTCCAATCCTTAGAACTTCTTCTCAGATGGCACCAGTCAGCAGCTAATGCAGAAGAGCTGAAAGGACTAACTGAAGTTCTAGAATTGGCCCTTCAGAGCAGCTGTGATATGGTTAAGGAAAACAAAAACAAAAATCCCCAAAAAACCATAACAAGCAGCTCTGTTGTAACAAAGATCAGTTTCATGCCTTTTATAATGATGAGTTCCTTCTCCATGTTCCAATTCTCAACAAACTTTCAATTTTCAATCCAAAATGATGAGTCTGTAACTCGACGCACCATTTGCTTAACTGAACGAAGGCCGTTCTCTCACCTGGTACTTACCTTTCCTTTAAAATACAATTTTCAGGAACTAAGGACCTGTTTGCTATGAATGTTATGAACCTTCTGGACACAAAATGAACCTCAAGAGTTATGGTCTCAATGCGCAAAACAGACAAACTTGGCTACAATTATATAGGGAAAATATGGTCTTGAATGTGAAGTTTTCATGCATCTCTCAAGTGACTTAATGGTAACCCTATTCCAAAACTCATTTATGATCACCAGGTTATATTGTGGCTCTATCCTATGCTCTGAAAGAAGGTAGCTATGCAAAGTTTGATAATACTGATACTGCTCCTAGCTCATATGTAAAGGCCTGGGGGAAATCTTAATTTAAATAAGACATAAAACATACCTTTGTGGTAGAATGATAGTGTATAGGCTTATTTTAGTTGTTCAATTAAAAAATAAGTGGGACTTGTATGATGCTAGCCAGAGAGCTTTACCTTCATGGGGCTTCATGATCTGTCTGGTCATTGAGAAAATAAAAATAGAACTGGTGGTCAGCCCATTCAATGAGGTAAAGCCCAACATGAGAATAAGTTTGATAGAGGTATCGCTTTTCCCCCTTTGTTTTACATACAAATCTAATGACAAAACAGCACAAGCTGGAAAACCAATCTGTCCTTTGTTTGATTTTGGGGTAAATCAATTTTCTATATCAGGTTTTCTCAATTTTTACCCCTTGACTCTTGACAAACTAATCTCACATTCTCCTTTAATGTCATTTGAAATTTCAAAATAGTGTGTCCGAAAAAGAAAATTAAAACACCGTTTTAGAATGTCTTTTCAAACGATACATATCCCTTTCCCTTCTGATTCTGTGACTGGCCCCTCCAAAAACTTCTGGCTGAGAAATCACTGTTGGATGATATAAAGACAAACTAAAACTCTTACTCAAGACCTCTAACTTCTTTAAATCTAGCAGCAGCACTGACTCAATCATAATATAAGCAGCAGATTAACAGAACAAGCCTTTAAAAAAGTGAAATTAACAAACCTAAATGCTCTCTCCACTCTGTTTTATTCTAATAATTGAGAAACAATGTTATCTAAATCCTTCATGCACCTCTTGCTCCTGCAATATCTATGTCCATTCCATGTTTAGGACTTCAATGATGTTCTCTTTTTTATTAAGTAAAGCATCCTTTAATGCTCCAGCAGTATCAAACCCTTGACACAATGACTGAGCCGATCCAACTCTTAAATGTCTTTAAGTTTTTTGTGAATTGGTGAAAGTTCAACCATATAATAAAACACATCCCAATTATTTAAGACCAAATCTGCTTGGACAAGAAGAAAAAAAACACAAGTCCCAGAAATTTTATTAAACCCTCTAACTGCCTGCTTGCCTCATCACAATTTTAATTTACTGACTAAATACTAGGTACTTATGAAGCTCTTTATATACTCATCTAGTTAAGCTTTGTTATGATAGGTATAAAAATAAATACTACAACTGATCAGCTTAACTCTTTCTCAATTTCTGCCCTGCTGGCTGACATTTTAGGTTGGGTAATCCTTTGTTTGTGGGGGAGGGCAGGGAGACACTGTACCATGTATTGTATACTCAACAGCAATCTCCAAGCCTAGACTTAGTGTCCTGGGTGGGAGAGACAAAATTGCCCATGGTTGAGAACCAGTGTTCTAAGTGGTATTTTCACATCAATAAATAAGCAGACAAACAAAAGGACATGTTAGCCCTATACAAAGCACATTAACAGAAAAGTGACTACAATAAGCCAAATCTTCAGGATTATCAGGCTGATCGAAAGTAAAATTGCTTCCTTTGGTTTTCTTGGAATGTTTTCCTGTTCTAACTCCACTGTATTAGCAATAAAAGCTCCAACTGACATATACTCGAGTGGTAAAATCTATGGACAAACTGTTAGTTCTTTAAATAAAACAGTAGACATCATAAAGTACTTTAAGCAATAAAAGCTTATTTGTTGTACAATGCAGCCCTACTTCTCCCTCTTAAACTAGTATCTTATTCAGGAAGAAGAATTTACATAGTTCTTAACAATTAAATGAGGCATTGTTTCTTGGAAAAATTAAGTTCTTGGACTTCCTTGGTGGTACATTGGAAAGAATCTGTCTGCCAATGGAGGGGACATGGGTTCAATCCCTGGTTCAGGAAGATCCCACACTGCCACTGAGCAACTGAGCCTGTGTGTCACAACTACTGAGCCTGCGCTCTAGGGCCAGTGAGCCGCAACTACTTAAGCCCACACACCTAGAGCCTGTTCTCTGCAACGAGACCTGGGAACTGCAACTAGAGAAAGCCCTCTCACAGCAATGAAGACCCAATGCAGCCAACAACAACAAAAGCAATCTGCCCAAATACCAGAGTGCCTAGAACTAGACTTATTTACTGCTGTTTAGAGCACAGCATGACAAGATGTTTCATACAGTGTGGCACAGTATCATAACATTAAGAGTCCTCGACCTTTACTGTGCTACTGTTTAGCAGAGGAGAGAATAAAGACCAAGTCAGGGTGCTCACTTCGGCAGCACTTATACTAAAATTGGAATGATACAGAGAAGATTAGAATGGCCCCTGCGCAAGGATGACACGCAAATTCGTGAAGCATTCCACACTTAAAAAAAAAGACCGAGTCAGGATCAACAAGCTTCACCATCTTGCTCATGCTAAGTCATATCCAACTCTTTGCAACGTCATGGGCTGTAGCCTGCCAGGTTCCTCTGTCCATGGGATTTTCCAGGCAAGAATACTGGAGTGGGTTGCCATTTCCCTCTCCAGGGGATCTTCCTGAACTAGGGATTGAACCTGCATCTCCAGCATTAGCAGGCTGATTTTTTTTCTTTTACCACTGAGCCACCTGGGAACCACCTTGACCCCTATTGTTATGGGATCTCTTTGTTCAACTTCATCTTGACACAGTCTGAGGAAAATGCCACAATGTTTTCTCCTTACTCAATTTTGATCACACATACTCAATTTTGATCACATATGGACCACAGCAATATCCGATACAAATCTAAGAAACTGACTTTGGTTGAGTGCACTTACAAATGTACATACATATATTTAGCTACAAACAACCAGTTAAAACAAGAATACCCAAAATTCCAAAGTTAATCCCTTTCCCCGTGATCTGGAAAACAAATTTTAGGATGTTTTGCGACAAATACAATGTAGTAGGTTATTCTATCTCAAGAGATACATACATGGTATGTGACTTACACCTCAAGATTCTCTGAAAAGTATACATTCTTTAAAAGTGACATTACTTAGAAATACAATGTTTTACCGTGATACTTCTCTTTATATTTGTACTTGAATTTTCTTAAGACATTTTAACCTTGACCTTCTCTGAATCTAGGTACCTTACTACCAGAATAACAAACATATGGTACAGGAAGGCATATGAAGATAGGTAATACATGAACCGCCTATAATAGCAACCAGTGAAACCATTTTTAACTATAGGGGTCAGCACTGTATGAAAACCTGAAAACCACCATTGGACACTATCTTACCATAAAAAACAAACAAGATGCTACATATAATGACATTCTGAAGTGTTATGCAAATGAAAGGTCTTGTGTGCACACAGGTACACAATCCCAAAGCAGTCATCTCACAAACTGTTAACCCGTGTCAAATACATTTGATCCCCTATAGGTAAGGACACAGATGCAATAGTTAGCTTTGGGACAACTTCAGTTCTTGAAGGTCAATAATGGGTCACAATGGATACTGTATTATTGCAAAGAATTTTTTAGTTTCATTTAAAAGTAAAAGGGAGGGGATATATGTACAGTTATAGCTGTTTCACCTGTGTACAGCAGAAACCAACACATCATAAAGCAATTTCCCTCTAATTAAAAAGAAAGTAAAAGAGGCCTGTTAAGTTTTATCATGTATTTTCACAAAGAAAATATAAGATGTTTTTTTCAGGGGTCATCAAGAAGTATACTGAAAATACATTAATTTTACAGACCCATTAATACAGTGGCTCTGTATTAATATAATGGGTGTATACCCATTATACACCAAATCAATACGATGGAAAAGGTCCAAAGTGGGCCCTTACACATAGTACACAATCTGAAAGATTCATGTAACTGAATTAAAGGAGATGAGGGCTTCCACTCAGGTAGAGTGAAAGAAGAGACCTCACTAAGCACATCTGTTTTACCAGTCTGGACTTTACTTAACTTTGCAAGATGAACACAATGCTATCGGTGTCTTCTACCTCTAAAAATATTCCACACAAGTTATACAGAAAGGGAATACAGGCTTTTCACTAACTATGACACTAAGACATCAAGATGACAAATTCAGGCCAAAGTACTTCAGATGAAGCTCCTGGGCAGCATCCCAAACTTATGATGACACAGAAACCAACCTTGTTAGTCCCAGGTTGATAATGGAGAAGAATGAGAAATTTCAAAGATTTTGACCTTATTCTGCTATCTGCATACAGTGACCTTAAACAAGTAATTTTCATCTTCCTCAGACAGGAGATAACCAACATCTGCATTATCTCACAGAACATCAAATTAGACAACACACAGAAAAGTGCCAGGTCAACTGTCAAGTGCTATACTAGTAAAAGATATGCTCAACTGCACCTCAATTCCCTCAACAATTTCCAAAGACATACATCTCTAAGTAACAGAGAAGAGAAATTCTTGGTGAGAAATGAGTGTTCAGAGATAAATTGTTCAATAAATGTTTTGTAAAATGCAGGCTCATGTCAGGGAGGAGAGATCATATCCCCCATTCCAAAATCACTTAACAAAATGTTGGCACAACTCTCTAAGTCCATCAGAAGTGCAAGCAGACTTACATGAAAGTGATACTTCCGGCTAATTCATTTCAATGTATGACAAAAACCACTGCAATGTTGTAAAGTAATTAGCCTCCAACTAATAAAAATAAATGAAAAAAAAAATAAAGTATTAAAAAACACACACACACACAAAAGAAAGTGATACTTCCTCTCAAATTCTAAACAAGAAATCAACTCCAGCCACTAGTATTCTTCTAAAAGCAACTCCTAGCAGTTGTGCAGTTACCTTAAAAAAAAAAAAAAAAAAGGCCCTACCCAATTACTGGGGCTATGAAAGCTCAACCAAAACGGAAGCTGTCACGGGCTCCGATCTTGGTCACGACTGGATCTCCAACATCCACAACCCATGCCTGACAAATATACAGTTCACGCTCAAGTAAAACTGTGTTGACTGAGTAAGAAAAAGTCTAGAAGAAATCCAGGTCTCCACCCTGCTTCCTCTCCTCCAACACGTGGGCGCACCACACCGGGTTCCCCACCCCCGTCTAATTCTAGTAGCGCCAACCTCCAAACCTAACCCATTTACCCTTGGAAGAACATACGGGCCGGATCACACTCTAGAAGGGGAAGAGCAAAAAGTGGAAGGACCTAAAGAGAAAGCAACATAGGCGCGTAAAACCTTCCCATCTGGGCTCTCGCGCGTGCTTTTCAGGCGCGCCAGTCTCCAGTACCCTAGGCTTTCCGACCGCGCACGCGCACCGCCGCCTTCCTCCGCCCCACCAGCGACTCGCGCTCGGGTTCTAACTGCCCCCCCTTTATTCCCTGCCCCCACTCCCGTCCGCAACGGCCTCGCGCCTTGGAGACCTAGTTCAGAGTGCACCCGTCCGCGCGCCAACCGCCTCCTTCCTTCCTCCACGCTTTCACGCGGGCACAGTGCTTCACGTCTATGAGAAGGCCTACATCTCCCGCTGATCTTTCTGCGGCTCCTCCTCACTCCAACTCAAGCCAGAGTCTACCATTACTCCCCAATCCAACGTCGGGCAGATGGGGTGAAAAGGGTGTGAGGGGGGAGGGGAAGGACACCTTCCCCTCCCCCCAAACATCCCGAGGCAATAACCTAACAAGGCCCAGCCGCCAGCCTGCCGCAGCCCCAAAATCCGAAGGGAAGAGGTGCCGCCCACCCCCCGACTCCAAAGAATCAGTGGATCAGACTCGGAGAGTCGCTTCGGAGCCTGGTCCTTGGCCGCGCTCGGCCGCTCACTCACCTGAGGCCGCCATGTTGGGAGAGGGAGAGAGAACGCAAAGGACCCGGATGAGGCGGTCACGTGATTATAGCGAGCGCGTCGGGCTAGGAGACGCGAAACTGGGAGGGGGCGGGGAATTGAGGAGGGACACAGGAGGCGGGGCGGCGCTCCTCTAGGTTCGTAAAGCAGCGCGAGGAGGTGACGCGGCATCCGACGGGAAGACCTGCACGACATGTGGCCAAAGGGGTGGAGCCTGCACTGTCGCGAAACCCCTCACGCTTTACGTAGGGCGACGCGCGGACGAGGGGCAGGTCTGAGCCTGGGGCGGGGTCTCCTGATCCGCAGGCTTCCTGCCTGTGCGGTAAACGGAAGGGGTGGAGCCGCGCTGTCAAGTTCCACCTCTCTGGCACCGATTGGAGGCCGGGTGGAATCCAGAATGGACGAGCCACAATTGGTTTCCTGGGAAGATTTTGAGTTTCTTTGTAAATCGCTTTTTGTTAAAGCAAAATAAACCCACCATTCTGCTTAAGGATGGTTTTAATTGGGGATGTTTAGAAGGAAAAGACGGAGAAGGCAATGGCAACCCACTCCAGTGTTCTTGCCTGGAGAATCCCAGGGACAGAGGAGCCAGGTAGGCTACAGTCCATGGGGTCGCACAGAGTCGGACACGACTGACGCGACTTAGCAGCAGCAGCAGCAGAGGGAAAAGAAAGTAACATTCATCACTTACTTGCCATGATCTTTTACTAAAAGTCTTTTAATCCTTCGTCTTGCAAACTAAATTCAGTCAAACTCAGGCCCTTAGGATTTAACAGTCTAATTCTATCTGCGCTTCCTCTTGTTGCCAAGTCTTGTCAGACTCTGGGACCCGATGGACTGTAGCCCGCCAGTCTCCTCTGTCCATGGAATTTCCCAGGCAAGAATATTGGAGTAGGTTGACATTTCCTTCTCCAAGGGGTCTTCCCCATCCAGGGATGGAATCCACGTCTCCTTCATGGGAAGAACGATCTTTTACCAATGAGCCACCAGGGAAACCCCATAGGTGGTAGTTCATTTAAGGAAAACTTGATTTGTGCTCCCACCACGTGTCAGGCGCTTTTACTGGCATTTTGGGTACAACTGGGGAACAAAACTGCTCCAAAAGATGTTATATAGTTCAGTGAGGGAAAGACAGACAATAAGCAGTAATTAAATGAAATATTAGAAATGTTAAGCACTCTACAGGTAATTAACGTAATTTGATAAAACTGATTTTGTGCAACTTAAATTGCATGGTCAGGGAAGGCCTCTGAGGAAGTGACATGTAAACTGAGATCTCAGTTACAGAGAGCCAACCCCCAAAGAACTGGATCAAATGCTTCAGGACAGGAACATGTTGGCAAGTTGGAGTCTGAGTTTGTTGAGGGAGGGGGGGAAAGTGGTAAAAGATGAGGTTTGAGAAATATGTTGGGGTTGGATCATGTGAGACTCTGTGAATCAGGTTTAGGAGTTTGGATTTTATTCCAAGTGGATTGGGAAAGCCTGGAAATGTTTTATGCAGGGGAATGTGAGGACTTGAAATAGTTTTGTAAAGGGTTACTTAGCATCTTGATGTGAGTGATGGTTACATAAGTGTACATTTATATACATCAGATTGTACACTCAAGAACTGCACTTAGTGTATAGACATCATACTTTAAACAACAGTGATGACAACAACAGGATTACTCAGTTTACTGAATGGAGAGTGGGTTACACACCTGCTAATGGAAGAGAAAGATCAGTTAAAAGGTTCTTGGTGCCAGGACCTCATAATGTCTTCATGGCCCCTAGGCACTTTTGCCTTCACAGGCCCTTTTTGCCTTTTTTTTTTTTTCCTTTTCTCCTTTAAAACAGTATTAACATTATTGGCCTCACTGGGTCTTCCTTGCAGCATGTAGGCTTTCTCTAGTTGCAGCACATGGTAGCTTCTCTTGTTGCAGAGCGTGGGCTGAATTGCCCCATATCGTGTGGGATCTTAGTTCCCCAACCAGGGATTGAACCTGTGCTGCCTACATTGGAAGGAGGATTCTTAGCCACCGGACCACCAGGGAAGTCCTAATATTAAAATTAGTATTTTATGATTGTCCTGGTATAAAAACCAACATACTGATAAAATATATTTTCTTTGACCTAAACGTTTATTTTTTCTTATAATTTAAAAATAAGCTAAAATGTTTTTGTGGGGCCCTTAAAGTATGGTGGCGTCCAGGCAGTGTGTCTGCTGTGCTTTCTGAATAAGTCAACCCTGACTGCTGTCATCCTGGTGAGAGAAGCTGGTGCTTTAGACATGAATGTAGAGATGGGAAGAGATGGATGCAGATTTTGGAAGTGGACTAGATGTAAAAGGGCACCAGAGAAGGAACTCTCCCAAGTTTTTGGCATGAACACTTAGGTGATGCCATGCCTTTAGTCTCTTTTCTCAGAAAGTTGTTAGGGAATCCTGTAAAGAAGAGAGCCTGAATTCTGCTGTTGACTTTATGCAAACTGCTGACTGGTCATTGAAGCATGAATGCATGAACAGTTCAGCTGAGGAAAGCAAAAAAATTGAACTGAGATTTGAGCTGATGTCTGCCTCATGTGAGAAAGAGAGTTGGTAGTTTGGGTCCAACCAGTTTAATTGCTTGCTAAAATGAAAACATAAACATTTTTGGAGGATACATTTGTTCCCTGTTCCTCCTGTAGGAAATTTCCACAAACTTAGTGGCTTAAAAAACATAAATTTATTCTTTTACAACTCTGGGTCAGAAGCCTGAAATAGGTTTCACTGAGCTAAAATGAAAGTGTTGGCAAGACTGCATTCCTTCTGGAGGTTCTATGGGAGATTCTGTTTCCTTGCCTTTTTTCCACCTTCTATATAACTGGCCATGTTCCTTGGCTCATGGTCCACTTCCTCTGTTTTCAAAGCCAGAAACTTTGGGTTGAATCCTTCTTGTATTGATCAGTTTGATTCTGACTTTTCTTTCTGCCACCCTCTTTCACTTTTAAGGACCCCTGTGATACAGTTGGGCCCACCTGGACAATCCAGTATAGCCTTCTTATTTTAGGTCTCCCAGTGTGCGCCATAATTCCATCTGCAGCCATAACTCCCTTTTACCAGGTAATATATTCACAGGTTCCAGAGGTTTGGATGTGGACATCTATTTCTTTGACTGCACTGGGTTTTAGTTGCAGCTGGAGGGATCTTTTAGTTTTGGGAACTCTTAGTTGTGGCATGCCTCAGAAGGACATAACAGACTCTAGAGTCTTCAAAACATAATATACATGATGTTCGTGAATCAAAGTTGTTCAACATGTGAAGAAAATGGAAAATGTGACTACATGACAACAGAGACCAACCCTGAAATGAGCCAGATGTTGAAATGATCAGACAAGGACTTTAATGCAGCTATTATAACAGTGCTCAATGAATTAAAATAAAATATGCTCATAATGAGTGAAAAGGTAGGAAATTTCAGCAGAGACATAGAAAATATGAAAAGAACCAAGTGGACATTTTATTTATTTTTTTCTTTTTCCAAGTGGACATTTTAGAATAAAAAGTACCGTGTCTGAAATAAATTTCATGGAATACATTACAAGCAGAATAGAGATAATAGTAAAGAATCTCTATACTTGAAGGTAGATCAATAGAAATGATCAAATCTGAAGAGAGGGAAAAAAGATTGGAGAAAACAGTGAACAGACTCTCTGGGACCTGTGGAGAATATAAAAAAATAGAGCGTGTTATTGAAGTCTCGAAAGGAGAGGGAGAGTTGGGGTAGAAAATATTTGAAGAAATAGTACCCCTAAACTTTCCACATTTGGTTAAGATTCAGGAAGCTCAACAAACCCTAAATAGTGTAAATATAAAGAAAACTTCACTGGCATATCATAGTCAAAATGCTGAACACACACCAATGATGACAGAAAAATCTTGAAATCATTCAGAAAAAAAAGTGACATTGTGTACAGGGGAACAGTGATTTGAATGGCCATGGGCTTTCCATGAACTACATAGGTCTAAAAACAGAGAAACAAAGTTCTTAGCATGCCAGAAAAAGAAAGCTGAGAAGAAGTGACACCAGAGGAAATTCAGATCTTCAAGAAAGAAGGGAGAGTTTCAGAAATAGTAAATTGATGCATAAAGAAGACTTTTTTTCCCTTTTAATTTCTTTGAAATTCATCTGATTATTAAAAACAAAAGCAAATTTTAGAATATTGTGGGATTTGTAATGTATTTAGGTGTAATGTGTGTATTATTTACAACTATAGCGTAGAGGATGATGGTTCTTCTGTCTAAAGAAATACGATATTAACTCTAGGCTATGAAAGGTTAAGGATAGATATTCTAAGCCTTAGAACAGGAATTTTAACAATAATGCAAAGAAATATAGTTAAAATGGGATTTTAAAAGACATTTAATCAAAAAGAAGGCAAAAAAAGAGGAATAGATGATAATTTTAAAAACTAGCTAGGGGAAAAATAATATATGTAAAGCAAGCACTTTAGAGGTCTGACACATGGATTGTCTTCCTGAATAACAGTTTACATGGGGATTTGTACTTTCTAGAACCTAGGAGTGCAGATTCTTGTTGGAACTCTGTTGCTACTCATCTCTGCAGAACAAAGGTAAACGAAAAAACACAATGCAAGGGGGAGTCAAATGGAGAGAATATAGTGGAGTATTCTTGACTATGAGGATTTTGAAATATGCAATGGCTCAGGCACATTTTTAATCATCTCTGGAGAAGAAGCAGGCATCCTTCAGTGGTGTACCCAGAAGAGTGGGAAGGAGATGGCTAGGTGTGGGTGTGGGTTCTCTTGGCAGCCAGCTACCTTGGGGAGGAGAGGAAAAGCTGGAAGACACCTGCCACTTTAGGGTTCTGTTGTGAGCTAGCATTTGAGGAGGCTGTCTCCCAGCCCTTCTTTCTTTTTTTTGCCCAAAGGCTAAGGATGCAGATACCTCCAGGAGCTGGGTAGCTAATGGGAATGATTTAAGCAGCCTTGTAGGCATTGTGGCAGACTTCATGCAGA